ATGCTGATTATGCCTTATTCATTCCGATAAATGTTCTAAAACCACTACTTTGGCTCAAATAAACATTGCACTTTCATATAAAAAAATGACAAAGAATTTAGACTATTATCTAAACCGTTTTAAATATTTTATACCGCAAAAAGGAAAAAAAATTGGTGGTCAACAATTTAGCAATTATTTATAATATATTGAATTTCAAAATCCATTACTGCTTAGTTAAATAAAGCTTGTTTTGATAAATTCGGTTTCAAACTGAAACGTATACTGACTTGAAGAATAGGTTTCGGCCAATTATACATTTACCAAACAATGTAAGCTTGCTTCTCTTTCGTTTGATATTAATAATTAAAATATATATTTCTCATATTCTATATAGTATATAAAAGTTAAATTTCAAATTAGAAGAAAAGAATATAGTATCCTAGGAAGCAGATTTAATAGGAATTTAAATCTAAAACAAAAAGACCTATTAAATTTTAGAACGATGTAAAATGCAGTTGAACCATTAAATTTTTTTTGAAATATTTTAAACTAAAGAATTCAAAATACAAATTAATTATTCATTTTGATGCTTCAAACCAACTCGGAAAGGGCTAATAATTTTAAACATTCAAATTCGAAAAAAGGAAGTACTAACATCACGTTTCGTTCCACTTGACACTTTGAGCACCCGGCGAAGGCCTTTGCTCATTTTTCATCTTGCCTGCTTCCCAAAATACCTAATGTCTCTACACTGGTGCTCGAACTAAAAAGGGTGGTGGATGATTATTCTTCACACCCAGGATTTAGCGACTGGGTCTCCTAAAAACCCCATTCGCCCTTTAAAAGGGGGAGTATATAAGATATTTCTCCCGCCTTCCTAGCATGCCTTCGTGGTGCGGTGGTCTGCGCGCTGGGCGCGTATTCCAGAGGTCCGTGGTTCGACTCCAGGAGAAGGCGTTGTTCATTTTTCATGCCTCCTGCTTCCAAAAAAACCTAACGATTCTACACATCTTAAATTAAACTATCGATTCTCATATATACATCCTCTCAGAATCGCGCATTGAAAGCTGTATTGCCTGTGATTTACTGTATTTTCTCTTTCAGTATATGCAGTTTTCAATTGCATCCTAGTTTGGGGTCGCAAAGTATGCTTTAGAAAGAAATGAAGTTCAATAATTAAAATAAAATTCTCGGAAATTTGTATTAAAAATATACCTAAAATACACAGTTCAGATAAAAAAACAGAAAATTTGAAACAATAATTTGAATAAACCATGCAACTCAAGGAATTAAAATAAAACTCTGGAAATGAAAATATTATTTAAAAAGAACAACTGTGATTAAAAAATAAAATTATTTAAAACAATGAACAAAAGCAACTTGTTTTTCAGTTCATGCACAGTGAAAGAGTAAGGAAAATAGGCTACCATAAATTCAGAATTTCGCTAAGTGAATTGGTCTTGGCGCGCACTGAAAACAGTTCGCCAAGATATTTTTTTTTTAAAATTTCTCTATGATTTCCTCACCTAATTTTACAAAATTTAATATTTAAGCATAATCTAAGTCGTAAAGGTGCACTGGGAAAAAATCGGCATCTCATTTCAGAAAATCTCCCAATTTGTGTCAAAATACCTAGGTTAGAACAAAATTATATCTAAATCTATGTAATGTAGGTTTTAAATTGCGCTTTTGAGCCATGAAAAACAGATATTAAATGTTTTCAATCGAATATAGTTTTCCAGTAGAACAAGAAATATAGAACTATCTGTCTTGTGTAGAGTGTCCGTATTCTGTAAACAAACGATTGTTCTAATATAACCGAGTTCCATGTACATAAAAGAAAGAACGCACAGAAACGATAATGCAATTAAAAGGGTGCAAATAGTACCAAATTTCAGAACAATACTTTAGCTTTTATTCTAAGAAGGAGGTTCTTTTAGAGGAAGAGATAAGCCTTCATACAAATGTATGGAACAAAGAACTTTGAGGGTAAGTTTCGTATTCATTGATGCCTAAGGGGTCTTTCGTATTCATTGATGCCTAAGGGTTTATAAGTTTCTCAAGAAAGATGACGTCAAACCTTATCGGCACGAATCACAAAACAGCTATTTTATTGTATAGTAAAGGCTTAATATTTTGAACTTTAATTCACCTGCAATTCTGTGTGCATGCTCGAAGTTCTCTGACGACGCTCTATAAAATACTATAACATTCAAAATATCCTTGGATACTAGAAATTTTTATAAGTTGTCCATTGCCAAATCCGAAGTCGTGTGAGCTTTTACTTACGGGATATAGTGGATTAATGTGACGAGAGCAAAGATGTCCGCTACTAAAGACAAACCAATTTTCGGAGGGTGCGAAGGCCCAGATGCTGCCTTTATAAAACTTATTTCTTCTGATGGCGAGGAGTTCATAATTAAAAAAGACTACGCTCTAATTTCTAGCTTCATCAAATACATTTTGACCATTAAAGCCAAAGGATACTTTTCTGCAAGAGAAGTGAACGAAATTTTCCATCCCACGTGGTACAGAAAGTGTGTCAATATTTCACTTACAGGGTGCGTTATGGACATTGCTCTAAGGCACCCCCGTTCACAATCGAGCCCGAAATTGCTGTGAATTGGATTGTTAACTATTTTGGATCCATGGAAATTCACTTTCATAGATTTGTTTGTTAAGTGATCTCACGAAATGTGTTATGACGCGAAAACTTTTATGATATCAAGGATGCCCTGGCAAAGATGGATTCTCTGGGATTGTGTTTTCATATGAATTATGTGAGTTATAGTAGACAATATGTGAATTTCTATATTTGTTTCGAACATATACTGGACTTCTTATGATGACTGACAATATTTTGGATTTCACAATCTCAGAAAGTGATCAATAACTGTACAATTTTACTCTAGCAATTTTAATACGTTATTTACTCAGCAATAAAGCAAGTATATGCAAGAATTTTGTGTTCTGTTATAACAATTTTGTAATAGTCAAAACAGCTTTCATTATTAAGTATCATATTTCACGTGTAACTCTAGAATGATTTTTTTTTTTTAATTGTACGTTATTTTAAGCTCTTATATAGGACGTGGACTGCCATTTTTATTACCCGTAGAATTGCATTAAATTAATCCTGCGATATTTAAATTCATTTGTGTAACTAGGAGAAACATAAGATTTTAATAATGGATTAAATATCTCATATCCGTAGGCATTACTGATTTAACTCCTTTGTTAGATATTGTGTCCTATTTCCTTAAACGAATCATTGGTTTTCATATAAAGTGTTTAAAAGAAAGGAGATTAATATACGTAAATATTATTTTTCTTTGACTAAAAAATTTATTAGTTGCAAATATTCATTCTTTTAATTAATTATTATTTGAAAAAACCCTTTATAATTAGTTTTGAATTTATCACCTGTGGGCTATCCTTTACGGATGAAGATTTCATATGCCATGAAATTGCTCCAGTTATAGATGTCCCTCCGATTTTCGGAATTTCACAAGCTAACGTTTTTCGAGGCTATGAACTTTAAATGATATGTTTGAGTAAAGATCTTCGGATCGTAGACTTCGCTATACAACCGCGGATCTACCCGATCCTGTTATCACGGCTTGCCAAAGTCTACTCATTCAAATAAGCGTTTCTAAATTTTAGAATATGGAATGAGCGTTAGTTACATATTTTTAAATCAAGTGTTGAAAATCTGCTTATCACCAAATCAAACAGGATACCGTTCCTTTTGACTAAATGATTGCAACATTAGGAGAAATTGAATTTTGTGCATCAAAGTTAATTTACTCCCCTTCCCCTCTATAGTAGCGGTACGCTCAAGGTGATCTTTGGTGAGATGAGAGATTGACATTTGTTGCAAACCTGTTAAAGATAAGAATCTACCCGTTTTAGGAAATTGAGATTTTTGCGTAGTCATTTTTTTATTTTTAAAATTACATAAGATAAAGTGAAATTTTTAAAAATTGCGACATTTTCAGAAATTGTTATCTCATAATATCAGTTTTTTTTTTTTTTTTTTTTTTTTTTTTTTTTCCCGGCACTGGCGCAATTTTTTCCGCCATCTTGAATCGGCGAAAATCGCCAAATCCTCAGAAGGATTTTTTTGAAGCCAAGAGGGAAATGACGTCAAAAGACGCTTTCCAAAATTTCCCTCCTGAGCCGGACATAGGGGAGAAACCGGTGCTAGGCGAAAATCGCCTGAGGCTAAATACAATAACGCGTTTGCGTTAAAAAGGTAAACAATGTACATAAAACTAATTTAGTTGTTGATATGGTAAAGTTAATCTACATACATTTTTTCACCTTAGTATTTTAGATGAAGATATATATAACTCCAACATTATTACCTTACCAACTTAATACTTTTCTTTTTTAATTCTGACCATTAATTTCTACACTTATCTATAATAATAGTTAAATATGTTTGAAAACATGTTCTTCATATAAATGCAGTAAAGATTATGCAAATGGAATATTTATCACGTAAGTAACGTTAAAAATTTTAAAAGATAAAATATACATGATATATTATTTGGAGATACTCAGATAACTCGGATGACATTTTATTTTGATGAAACTAAACCGTTCATTATAGATTTACTTTTACTCTCTATATTAAAATAAACTTATGTTAGCATTTTATATAGAATAAATATCTTATATAAAATTATCCATTCATATTATATTACCAACAAATTTATAATAAAATATATGAATGAATGAATGCAAAAATAGGTACAAGAATTTTAACTTACCCCATTGCAGTTGTGCATAACGTATTGTATATCCTTTTATTATATTCTTGTTGATATTTGCAGTTCTTCTAAAAAACAGTTTTCTTGAAATATTAACATCTGAGGTTCGTGTTTTGAAATAATTAATCCAAATCACTTTGTTGTACACTTATGAAATGTTCACACTGCATGCAACACAAATCTAGTAGTCCCTGTCTTGCACTATCCTCCTCATATCAGGTCACACACTCAGAGTCATACTTACATTCTTAAAAACTGACTGGCTTCAGCATCTGTTTAAAATATTCCATAATTAAAAAGGTGGGGATAAATAGATTCCATTTCCACATCACCTTAGAAGTAGGTTTGCACTTGCTTTAAAAAAACAGAAACTGTAAAATACTCTTAAAGAAGCATGCTAAATATTTCAATTGTTACTTTTAAGTATTAATTTCAGTTTTAAGGAAATGAAAGTTGAATTATAATCATGAAGAAATTGGTTATTGCGAAGCATGACATGCATAACAAATTAAGCAATATGATACGTTAAATATTTAAAAATTTTGAAAGTAATTATGTCTGTACATCAAGTGCAAACCTACATCAGGAGGTAGGAATCGTGATGCGTTTTTTTTTTTTTTTTTTTTACGGAGGTGTCGCCAAGAGCCATAATCCTCCGAACCTGAAAAATTCAAAAACCAAGGGAGGCAAAAAATGTTTTTTTAAGTATAACAGTCAAGATATTATAAAAATGAAATCACTGTTACAAGAAAAATAAGATACATAATAAAGAAATAATATACAAATAGGGTGTTTACATATTTTTAGAATAATTTTGATCAGAATTTTAAAAAAAATCACACGTGGACTGTTGTGCCTTTGATCTCATAAAGAGCTAAGCTTTCTAAGTGCAAAGCCATCACAACAGATGGAATCTGGAAAGTTATGGACGAGGAATAAAAATCAATACCCATGGAAATATTATGAAAAGCCCTTCTTTCGGAGAAATCATGGGCATTTTCTGGGCAGGCTTGCCGGAAAAAAAGCTATCATATTGAACATATAAAAAAATACTCTTTACATTTTAAACATAATTAAATGGCCCCCAAATTGTTCTAAAAATGTGTAAATGCCTTCTTTTGTATATATTTACATTTAGTGCTTACCAAAAATACTTAGGAAATAAATTACATTTTCGAACCTGTAATTCTGCTGTATTTATTTATGAAAGGGCTGCAGGATTTTTAATTTCCATACTCTGAAATGCAATTGAAAAACATGCACTTATTACTTTTTTTGCAAAGCTCTTTCTATATATATATACAGGGCGTAACAGAATTTATATCACAAGTTTAAGGGATGACAGAACATGGCAAACTTAATAATTTTCAGTATACATTGTCAAATGTCATCACAGGAACACAATAGTATGGAGGATGAAAGATTTTCTTATTGATGGTTATTTACAAGAATTGTTAAAATTAAAAATGGTCAACTGCAATATATAAATCACAACACTGAAGAACCAAGGCATAGACTTTAAAAGATGCCCACATCAAGTACTCTTGAATTAACACCAATTGTGCTGATACATTTTTCAAGAGAATCAATATATGTCTCTTAAAAAGAAATCCGTCATAGTTGTGGTGCATGTATCACCGTGCAGTTGCTACTTGTACTTTTGAAACAGCTGTTGTTAATACCAAATGCTATTTTTAGTAATTATCTGCTTTAAAAAGCTGTCTGACTTCTGCATTTACATTGCATTGTTTTATGCAAACTGTCTTTTTTGCCATGGTTTATCAGCCTTTAAAGCTGTCATATTTATTGCTAAATGTAAGCAGATAATAATAAAAATGCTATATCTTATTGTTTACTTTTTATGATGCATTTTAGAAAAAGAATCAAGTTCTTAAAATAAATTAAAATGAAAAATTGCTTATTCTTACCCCACATATCATCACCATCTTCAATAAACTGCATTTCATCATCTTGACGGGCAGCTTTTTTCGGTGGCATTAAATCTTCAATATCCTCACTTTGTACTGTTGGCTCATTTATAAATTTCAACTCTAAACCATTTTTTCCATAGCCAGGATATACAGTTTTAATATCTTGTAGGAACTGGTAAATTTTTTTCGCCCGGATATTGAAATTGCTTCAAACGAAAACGCTTGTAATAATGAAGGGCCATATACTGTCTCAGACTTTGATCATTGCGTCTATTAACAATTGTTCTTTTAAAAATTTTGTTTTCATTTTCTAACTGATTTATCGTATTGAATTTATCCTTTTTAGCTACAAATTCACCTGTAATGGAAATATGTCAATAAGCTTTTGTGTAGATTCTTGAGGAAATTATTTAACATTAGAAAATTTCTTCATAAACATATTTTTTTAACAAGCTGACTGTAACCGATTAACCAATCATGACCTGTAAAATAAGTATTCACAAATTGTTAATTTATTAACATATTCAGATATGAAAACAAAGTGATTTAATTACCTTTGCTGTGATTTGTTGTCTTGTGAACAGCTCCAGAGAACATGCTTTCAACATTTTTATACTGTTTAGCTGAATCGGTACAAATGACTGAAGTTTCTGGATGAACATGATGCTTTATATATGGCCATATATCTCGCTTGCTTTTCCCATTAACTCTAAAAAACAGCCCTTCTTTGTCTTCTCGACAATATATTCCTAAAACAGTTATTGTCATGTTTTTGGTAACCCGCCCTCTGTTATACTTACGCTTGGTAAGAAATGTCTCATCAACTAAAATGGTTTTACCTGCAAGGCAAATAAAAGGTAAATGAAACATATTATCACAATTTTGCAATAAAATGGCGTCTGCCAGGCGAGCAAACTGTTTTCATAATCTTCACCATGTGTACATTGATTATAAGCCAGTTTCCCTCAAAACGTCCTTCACAATGGCATTCCTTTCCTCCTTTTACACAGATAGCCCTTTTGACTTTAATATGTTAAAATGTCCTAACGTAACTTAACCTGCAGCTTTCGTCCACACGAATTCTCCTGCATAACTAGGCAAGCAACTTTCCACCACCACCAACCAATTCCCAGCTCAATTACATCTTGAACAGTCGATAACATTTCCATTTTATGATTTCTATCATCTGCAATTTGAAGCATTGCAACTGGAATATTTGCTGTTCTTCTTCGGCAAACTGAAAATTAAATAAAAATGTTTATTATATTTTAACAATTGGCATCTTTCTGGAACTATTATTTCGGAACATCTGCAGTATTCTAAAGAAAGCATCACTGCAGTGTATTGTTAGCAGTGCATCTGTAAGTATTGGCTAATACATAAGTACCCTGAAATATAACTAATTATTATTTACATTATAGGAATGCAATAAAGGGCTATTTGCCTAAAAGGAGAGGTGCCTTCATGGAGTACTTTTTAGGGGAACTTACTTGTATTCATGTTACACATGGTGAAAACTGTGAATACTCTTGGGAGCGAAGCCAGCCTGTTTGCTAGGATCTTCATTACGGTTAAACTACGAGTATTCAGTCATTTTATCACTCGACTGGTAAGGGACTTAAAATATAAGGTAATGCATATCTCATTAAAAGTTGAATTAAATACATGGCTCAGTTAATTTGTGAGACAAAATAAATACAGAAAAAAATTAAGAATCCTTTACCTGCTCCACCAAGTTGTGTACTGTGATGAGAGGCAAATACCTCACAGATTTCTCTACAATAGGACATAAAGTCGCATATTGTTTCGTCGCGTATTTCTGGCAACTTCTGCTCTTTCCTCCATGACATAAAATTCATCTTTATAAACGTGAAATTCATCTCCAGTACAAAGAGGAATATGAAGACCATGCACTCCCTGACTGGAACTTTGGTCCCCTCAAAAAATGTGCCTGCAACGGGGTTAACCATTCCTGGACACTTGCCTCTATTCCTGTTGCTGCAAATCCATCTCCAGCCAAGTTTTGCTTCTTTCCTGGAATTGGCATTCATCTTATGACCACATTTTGGGCAAGGTGGGGCCTCCTCTTTTTTCGGAAGCAAGCCAGCTTCTGTTGCTAAAATAACTGCCTTTTCTTCATCATTAATCAATGACATTCCTGTCATCATGTTGAAGTATTTCAATTTCTGCATTAATGATGAAGTAGCCATAGCAAAGAAAAAATAGAACCTAACAAAATGAAATTAAATAAATCAAATCAAATATTAAATTAAATGTATTATTTTTAAATTAAAAGAGATGTTAAATTTAAGCTAACAATATATCAAACTAAAACACTGATAACATACAGGAATAAAGGCTTAGTAGTACAGGGAAAAAATGCAGAAATAAATATTAATAACTTCTGAAATATGAAGAAATTACAAATATTCCTAAGTTACAGAAATAAAAATTTTAATATAAATAAAAATTAGTAATTCAAATATGCAAATATCAATAGATGCAAAGAGATAAAAATTTAATTGAAAAAATACTTGCTTTGGCAGGTGATTCCTTTTGAAGCGATACACACAGGGCACTCAACCAAAATGATGTAGGTTCAGAGTTGAGAGGTCAAAGTTCGCGGAGTTTTGCGCCTACGTCATTTCGCAAAAAATCGATTCCATGTAAATAATCAAAATTTCGTAGAAAAATTTGTTTGATCAAAATTACTTGCATAAACAGTAAAAATGTATATAAACGTATTTTATATTTTTATTTGTTAACATAATTTTGCATTAATAAGTAGCAGATATTTTTTCAATAATAAAAGTTTTTGCAAAAATTAAATTTGATAGACGACTGTGTGAAGAAAAAGTGTTCCTTTTTTAATATGTGTGTGTCTTTAATGTTGTTTATAAATGAACTGAATGAAAAGGTTATCTGAATTTTGTAAGTAAATCGGCAATAAATTGGATACCACTGTGGCGACATCATTCGTGTTAATGAAGCCTTAATGCAAATACTGTACCACCAACCCGATGACTGATTTTTTGTCTGTGTGATTCTATATCTAAAAAATGTAAACAAATATTAATCTTATTGGAGTAAGAGCAATGTTTAACATTTCCTATGTTCAAGACATGCACAACCACAAAGCGAATCCAGTGCAGCTTAACCGTAACCGTTCATTGAAATAATCTTGACTTAACCAAAAGACTTTGTCTGTCTGTCTGTCTGTCGTGACATCTGTCTCTCTCTCCCTCCCCCTCCTTTTTTTTTTAATTTTCGCGTTTTTTTTTACAGGTTTTTCAAAAACCAGCATCTTTTGAATTTATTAGCACGGAAGCAGAATTTTTTCCCCTTCGTCTTGAAACAAGAAAATAGTTTTAATGTAGGTAAACAAAGAAATGTAATCCTGAATTGCATACTGCAGGGAAACAAGATTTCTAACAATATATTTCGGTTATGTATTTGTTGCAAATACGGTGATGCAAAACTTTCAATATGTATATTCATTACCATTAAAAACTAACATGAGTAACAACACAGCAGAAAAAACTATGAAGATAAATCGTATTCAAAGGTTTGAAGATATAAATTTAATTAACTTTTATTTGTTTATCTAAGAAAGAATTTTGCTCATGTTTTGTTTAATAGTTTTAAATTTTTTACTCATACACCGAATTTTAATCCGCAAAATCCTCTATGTAAAGAAATCAGTGAAATATCCTTGACATAGAAAAGTAGCAGAATATTGTTTCTTTAATATTTTACATTAACTTATTAGCATTTCAAAGTCTTATAAGTTTTTTATTTTGATATAAACTTGATGAGAAGGGATTAAAAAATTGCTTGTATGATACAGAGTGTCTGTCAGCGAGATAGCGGTAAAACTGTTGCACCCTAGTAGTTCGTCTTGGAGTTAAGTTCCGACTAACGGATTTCCGCCATCTTGTGCAAATAACCCGCGAGTGCTTTTCTTATTCTAAATAATTCGTGTTAGGAGTACAATTAATTTATTTAGAAATTAATTCCAGTTTGTTATAGCTAGATAAATAACATATACTTAAATATTAAGTAAATAATTTTAAAAAATGTGTCAATGCGAACGATAAGTTAGGAAAAGACCATATGTTATCTACTTTGTTTTATTAGGATAATTAATTTATAAGGTCATTAAGTTGTTTAGAAAATAATTTATAAGGTAATTAAACGACAACTGGGAGCCCGTCTCCTGAACTTCTTAGTTTCTGGGATAAACCACAATTCATATTTAATTTAATAATAATTATTAATGAATATAATTAATTAATCATATTTAATTTCTTAATTATTAATGAAATATAAATAATTAATCATATATAATTTCTTAATTATTAATGAAATCTAATTAATTAATCATATTTAATTTATTAATTATTAATGAAATATAATTAAATAATCATTTTAATTTGATAATTATTAACATTTTTAATTTGATTGATTATTTAATTTTTAAGTCATTAATAATTTTAATAGTAATCTAAAAATACAACAAACAGCTTATGAGCGTATTCACCACGTCTACTGACAAAGTCACGTGATCAGCACGAAGATTCATCTGCAGAGTCGCATGACAGCCGAAGTAAGGCGTAAGAAAATATCCCTTCCCTTCCCTTTTCCCTTTCTCCCTAGCTTAGTGAAGGTTTAAACTTGCAACCTGAACTGTCCTCCCACTGTTTGGCGCCTATCGCTCAAGTAGGTGAACGCGATTTCTGGAAGTTCGCCAAGTGCCGGTTATCTGAGTATCCCC